GTCTCTGTGCCGAGCCCCTCCGGCCGCCTGGCCAGTGTGTCTGCGCTCCTGCAAGTGGCCTGCCTGCTCAGCCTGGTCCTGCTGCTGATCAAGGCTGCCCAGCTCTATCTGCACAGGCAGTGGCTGCTCAAAGCTGCCCAGCAGTTCCCATCTCAACATTCTGTACCTTCCACTTGGAGTGAGAGAAGAGGTGAGATGGGAAGAGGGAGGTTTCCTACTCAGTGCCTTGCATGGTGCTGGCAAAAGTAGAGTTTCCCCAAATGTCTCTTATATTTTTGTGTAGCATTGAGCTTTCCAAAGCACAAGTACAACTCAAGCCATCTTTTTCAAGATACACCTCAGGAGAGTCTCAGTGCTTGGACAACTATCTCAAATTTCTAAGTACTTGACAGTCAATTCAAGGTGGTGCACAAATATATATATCATCATTCAAGAGAAAGGAAGAATGTTCATCACCCATCCAAGACATAGAGTATCTTCCCATTGATCTGTGCTTTTTTTTTTTTTTTTAAAGATTTATTTATTTATTCGTACAGAGCTGGGGTACAGGCCAGAGATGTGGAGGGTGAGAGGATTCACTAGAGACAGAGCGGGGAGCAGAACAGGCAGATCGACGAAGTACACTGCTGAGGGGAGCAGCGGGCGGGTCAGGAGAGGTCTGCCTCGCCTTGTGGTTGTCTTCCGGGCAGGTGGGGATTGAACTCATGCGGAAGTGGCTTTAGTTTCTTAGTGCTGTGCTTTAACCCGCTGCGCCACCAGGGAGGGCCCTTTTTTTTTTTTTTTTTTTTTTTTTTTTAAAAACAATGTCTTATAGTTTCCAGTGTGAAGATATTTTATACCCATTGCTAAATTTATTCTTTTTGATGTGATTGAAAATGGAATTGTCATCTCTATTTCTCTTACAGATTAATGGTTCCATAGAGCAATACAACCAATTTTCTTTATTGACTTTGCATCCAGTCACTTCATTTTTTAAAAGGGGTCTTTAAATATTTTATGTATATTATCACGACATCTCCAAAAGTGGTAGGTTCATACCTTCCTTTCCAATCTGATGCCTGCTATCCTTCTCTTGCCTACCCTGTGCCCACAGATGAAAGCTGTAATTTTCTAATTACTTTTTTATTGCAGGATGAAAGGGAATTAGCAAAAATCCCATTTTAGAACTTCAGTGAAGTTGGACTGAAACTGGTTTTAGGGCTTTCAGAGATGATAAAATGGAGGACTGTCACCCTAATTGAGCAGATGTTATGATTGCACTAAAGTAGAGCTACTATTAGGAAAGCTCCATAACTAAGATTATTTAAAATTATTGAAATTCTCGTGTATTTGATTGAAGAAGGAATTAAGCTATTGATACTGAAAAACTGATTTCTCCAATGTCATATAAAATGGTGACATTCATATTATGAGTCACTTAAGTGAAAGAAAATAATTGTTAGTGGTAAATACAATTAGCATTATGATAAGACACACTTAAAGATTTGGTTGATTTTAGTCTATAAATAAACATCTCAAAGTGAGAATTTATTGCATCATTTATCCAAAAGAAATGCTATTGAATAACCCTTACTGGAGAACATTAACTAGAATGTGAATTCCTTGAAGTCTGTGTTTGCATCTGTTTTGCTTACCACTGTGTTAAGATACTACCAGCTACATATATAGCAGTTTCTCATTGAATGATTGGTGTGTAGAAAGTTAATATGTGCGGTTATTATCAATGTCAGCTGAGAAAGCCTTTCCCTTACTGTGTCAGGATGGATGATCCAGTTATGCTAACTGCTCTGCCCTCTGCCCTCACCTATCACCAGCCCCGTCCAGGGGGGCGGAGCAACACTTCACTGAGGGAGTACTTATGTGACTGTGATGGACGGGGTGGTCAAGGACACACAGGGACAGCCAGACACCCAGACGCTGCTGCACCATGAGCGTCTCTGTGCCGAGCCCCTCCGGCCGCCTGGCCAGTGTGTCTGCGCTCCTGCAAGTGGCCTGCCTGCTCAGCCTGGTCCTGCTGCTGATCAAGGCTGCCCAGCTCTATCTGCACAGGCAGTGGCTGCTCAAAGCCACCCAGCAGTTCCCATCTCCACCCTCCCACTGGTTCTTTGGACACTACAAGGAGGTAGGAAGAGAGGGGAGGCCAGGGAGGGCTGGGTTCTCAGAGCAGTCACGGTCAGCAAGTCACTGGACAAAGCCTTGCTGCGGGGCCTTCACTTGGCCTCCATGGAAAGCCCAGCTCACCTCTCAGGTCTTGGCTCTTCATCTTAGTCAACAGAACTCTCTCCCTCAGGGAAGCCTGGGCTGGTGACGCAGGTGGGGGGCACCCCTTCCTCAGGCAGGTCTGCAGGGTGTCCTGGCAGCCTGCTCTTTGAGGACAATGCCTGCTCCTCCTGAGTTTCCCCTCCACTGCAGAGAACCTTAATTTCAGAGCCTCAGGCTTCTAGCTGCTTCCTTACTTGTCATTCCATTCCATCTTCTCCTTATAGACCCTGTCCTGTAGGGTTCAAAGTCCTTGAAGACTACAGACAGGAAGCTAACAAGGTAACAGTTTACAGTGAAGATTGCACGAATGGGGCAAGGAGGAGAGAAGCCAGGTGTAGGAAACCAAGCAGCTAAGTTCCCAGGACTGACTGATTTTTTCCAGAGTAGTGATTTCAATTTTAAACCCTAATAAGAGGCTTGTCACACAGCTGTGTGAGGGTCTCCCAGCTGGCCCAGGGAAGAAGTACTGACATTTCAACTGCACCGTTAAACAGAATCTCTAACTCCCAGCTGTCAAGGTCCAAATGCCTATGCTGTGAGCACTTGGGGCTCAGGGATTCATTCCCACTCAAATCGCCTGCACAGAGGGATGTTTTTCTGGGTCTGTGGAGTGATCAACAGGAGGGAAGGAGCAGCTGCAGGCTAGTGGAAGGACAGTACCACTGCCCTGGGCTGCCTGCTCTGAGCATGGAGAAACGGCTGTAACATGGTTATCAGCAGAATAGAGTCAAGGACAAGAACTGGAAACGGTCGGAGCCTCACAGGAGCAGTATCCAATACTTCCTCCTGTTTCCTTCCTTCTCTTCTCTGTGACCCTTGGTCACCCCGTGTCCTCCCACCTGACTGGGCATCTGGCCTTGGCCTCTTCTCATGTTAGGACCTCCACAGTTAATGGCCTTGTCCCTCCTGGGTCATCTGACAAAGCCCAGCCCAAACCACCTCCTGCAAGTAGTCTTCTTGGCTGTCCTTTGCTGTGGGGCCTTCACTTGGCCTCCAGGGGAAGCCCAGCTCACCTCTCAGGTCTTGGCTCCTCATCCATTGAATGTGTGAGCCTTCTGCTCACACTGGACCCTCCACCTTGCTGGCCTCATCCCTCCTCGGTCATCTGACAAAGCCCAGCCCAAACTGCCTCCTGCAAGTGCTCTCCCAGGACACAGGGACAACTCCTGCCCCACGTGGTCTCCCAGAGCAGCACCTCCTGCCCAGCCCCTTTGTCTGCGGGGTCCCAGCTGTGAGCTCTTCCGGAGACACTGCCTCTGGCTCAGCTGTTAACCTGCTAGTCTTGGTGACTGATGCCTCCTTGAGTGAGCAAGGGCACGAGGGGCTGTGTCCTGCCCACTACAGTCAGGCCCCTTCTGCAAAGGCTGGGCTTCCTTCCTCACAGAGTAGCTCTGTCTACTGTCCTGCTCTTAATCTTCCTTTCCATCCCAAACAGACCGGAAGCACCACACAGATAAAGGCTTGTACCCTAGCCTGCCTCAGTGTCTGACTCAACGCTGGCACGTGTGGGTGCCCACGGACTGGGAGCTGACAGAGGGACCCTATCCACAGTCGGGCCAGTAGTCTCAGAGCTGGGGGATCCTGGTGTCAGAGGGACACACACAAAGCTCAGAGACTGCAAAGCAGGGGGCTGCCTTGAATTACACATCAGTTGGAACAGAGAAGAGTTGACTACATGGAACGTGTCTAGATCCAAATGTTTCTGAGAATTCCAAGGGAGTAAATTAAATCTGAATCTTGAAGTTGAAGGGAGGCATTTGCTGGTGATGAAGAAGGGGTGCCCCAGCTAGAGAAGGAGCTGTGCCCAGGTGAGGGGGGCAGGCCCAGCTGGGGAGGAGCAGCAGTGCCTGTGGTGGGGTTCAGGGGGTGTCAGGTCAGCAGGAGCGAGGGAAGAGAAGGAAGGCACAGACCTTTGTGCTCCGTGTTGAGGAGTTTAAATGTCTACCGCAGGCAGTGGGGAGCTCAAAAAGGTTCCTTGGTACTGGCAAGGGAAAATGAGGCAGAAAACCCAAATTCCAAGACCAGACCTCAACACCATTTTCATAGGCACATATCCAGACTTTGTCTTAAAATATGTGCATATAAAGTATGTAGAATATATTACATAGACCACTTAGTTTTTTTTAAAGATTTATTTATTTGTGCATACAGAACTGGGGTACAGGCCAGAGGTGCAGGGGCGGTGAGAGGATTCACCAGAGACAGAATGGGGTACACTGCTGAGGGGAGCAGCAGGTAGGTCAGGAGAGGTCTGCCAGGCCATGTGGGTCACCTCCAGGGCAGGTGGGGATGGAACTCATTGGGAAGTAGCTTTAGTTTCTTAGTCCTGTGCTTTAACCCTTTGCGCCATCAGGGAGGGCCCAGACCACTTAGTTTTTAATTTCACTTAGTCATCTCAAATCTATTTTATATTAACTAATATTTATATGTATATGCTTAATAGTGAACATATACAACAACCATATGCCAAATTCAAATTAGTTTACAAACATAAATTTTGACAGATAACTCATTAAAATCTAAATTATCAAATCTGTATGACAAAACTGCTTCCCAATTGATATGAGTTGCCATACAATTGTTCACATAAATGTTCTAGTGATTCCCAAAGTTTGTACACCAAGGAGTCCATCCCTGACTAAGTTTCTGTATGCTGGTCATGGTGAGACCACAGCGCCACCCAGAACTGGCCTCAGTTAAGGCCGTGGGCAGCCACCAATATTGGACAAGTGTCCAAGGCTGAAGAAACAGGGCTGAACTCTTCCTACCTCTAGAGATCTGGAACGATTTCCCTGTGACTGTCCTGCCTTCACCCCCACACACCTATGTGTAAAACACTTTCATTGATTTTTTCCTCCTGGTGACAGTTCCAGAAAAATGAGCTACAACAAATACTGAAAAGAGTGGAGAAATTCCCGCGTGCCTGTCCTCGCTGGCTCTGGGGAACTACGGTCCAATTCCTGGTCTACGACCCTGACTACATGAAGGAGATTCTCGGGAGGTCAGGTGAGAGCAAACCCCCTTCCCAGCAAAAGCCCCTCCTCCCATGGTAGTAAATGTTCTGGGTTTTGAAATCCCAGTGTCAGCCTTTAATAAAGACCATCCTCCCCCAACCTCCTGTCTACAAGCCAGTCCAAAGCTGTGATATTGAAGTGAGTGCTCGAACAGTTGTGGTGACACAACTTCCAATAATGATTTTCTTTCGTTTTGTTTTTTATTTATTGTAAAGACTTATTTATTTATGCATACAAGAGCTGGGTTCAGGCCAGGTGTGCAGGAGGAAGAGTGGATTCAGCAGAGACAGAGTAGAGAACAGGACAGGCAGACTGACTGTACTTCACTGAAATACACTGCTGAAGAATGCAGAGGGTGGGTCAGGAAAGGTCTGCCACACCATGTGGGTCACCTCCCTGGTTGGGAATCGAACTCATGCGGAAGTGGCTGTGGACAGCTTTGTAGTGCTGTGCTTTAACCCATTGCACCACCAGGGAGGGCCCTATTTTCTTTCATTTAAGACCAAGTTTTCATGGTATTTTTATGGATATTTTCCTGGATTAAACTTCGGGTTTGGCACCAATAAGTGCTACTGATCCTGTGCCAAGGGGGTGGGGAAGCCACGACAAATGGTGTGAAGTCAAAATTTTACCTTATTCTTTGTCACTGAGCCTTCTTCTTGCCAATACTCGACTCCAGTGCCATGGGCTTAATGGTGGGAGTTGAGTCCGGCTTCTGAGCCCTGGGACTCTCAGGAGAGGGCCAGGAGGGGAGGCAGGTGAAAGAGGCTTGGGACAAAGGCCAGATGACAACCCTCAGGAAGGGATGGAGCCCACGGCCGGGACACGGCTCCTCACTGGTTCCTTTGGTCCTCTACAGTTTACTTTCTCATCACTTTCCTTTCAGACCCCAAAAATCACAGTACCTACAGGCTGCTGGCTCCCTGGATTGGTGAGTAAATCTTACTGGACTGGGATCCATTGCCAGGGAGGGCAGCCAAGAACTAGGCTTGGCGCAGAGGACAGCAGGTGGCCAGCCCGTGTCAGCACCTGGGGTCTGGATCGGCCTCACTCCCAGTGCACCCTCGCCCCTTCCCACTGGCGCTGAGGCCTCCTGACAAGCCTCCGGTCTCTTCTCCGTCCTCTGCAGCCTCTAGGGCCCACACTCATCACCGGATTCTGTGACCCCCGCCCCCATCCCTGTATCTCACACTCTGCGTGACGTCATTTTGTCAAATCGCTTTCTGAAATGCCCGGGGCTTTCCTGTCTTCTGCATGAAGTTCTTCTGGTGAATGCCGTTTGCCCCAAACTATGCCCAGTCTTCTCTCTGTGCTGCCCAACTCCCCA